ACAAAACAAGAGACCCGAGAACTAGAAAGGCGAGGCTCACCACCCATTTATCCCTCCACCTTTCAATTATCCCCACATGTGATTATTGGCCAGGCTGGCACAATTAACTAACTCAGAGACCTTGCCTGCTGCTGTGATGGGACCTGACTCTCTCTCTTGCGGCTAGGTATCATCAACCCGATTGAAGCCAAGCAGAGGAAGGGCAAAGGGGCTGTAGGGGCCTACGGCTCCGAGCGCACCACACAGTCGCTGCAGGACTTCCCCGTGGTGGACTCGGACGAGGAAGCCGAGGAGGTAAGGCCCTGCTCGGCCGGGGCAGTCAGGGCATGCTGCCTTTTCAGATGGGGGCTGCCCCTTCCTTCATTTAGTCACTCATGCATTTGTTCACCCACCCAGCTGTCTGAGAGCTTTCTCCCCACCTGCTGCCCGTCAGGCTTGGCTGGGTGTGCTATGACCAACAGCCTCCAGCAGGCAAATCCTGGAGTGGGGGGTTACGAAAGGCTGTTGAGGGTGAAGGTTGATGGGCAAAGGGAGTGGGAAGCGGTCCCTGTTGCAGTTGAGCAGGGTGGTTAGAGAATATGTCTTTGCTCCGTTGGGACCTAGCCACCCCCCAGCGTGAGGTCACCCTGGCAGGAAGCCGGCTCAGCCTGCGAAGGGGATGGAAGTGGCCCCGAGAGGAGGCGGGCCTCGATTTTTTGGTTTTAGGCCTTCATGCCAAGTGCCACAGGCACCATCTCCTTCTCCTGACCTAGACGAGGCACTTCAGAGAAAACCACTGGCTCTTCCTGTGCTGTCAGGGGCCCTGGGTGATTGGGCACACTGCCTGCTCGTGGCATCCGGGTTCTTGGAGAGCCAAGGCTGAGGCAACAGGGAGTGGCGGGGACCACAGAAGCCAGGCTTCAAGCAGCCAGGCCACAAGTGTCCACCCAGCGTCCAGGGCACCTTGCCCTGAGAGTATGTGGTCTCACTGTCACCTCCGTCACTGAGAAGCCCAGGATGTGTCTTTCATTTCTCCTGAGAAAAACAGCTGCTTTCCGGAGCTGGGCGAACACTGCCACTGCCCCAGCCCTCTCCTGGCCCCGCCTCTTTCCTATCCTCCATCCCACCCACGCTCGCCTTCCTGGCTGCTGAGCTACCCGCAGGAATGGTTTGCAAACCCCAAATGTCCACGAGGTCCTGGCCTTGTGGTTCTGGGATCCGCCTCCTCCCTTCATGGTTCATGACAACCTAGGTTTTGTGTTTATTTTTCTTAAGAAACGTTGTATCTTGCGGACCTGGTTTTCCGGGAGGCCCCCTTAAAGCTAGCTCTGGCTCCCCACTGGTGGACACTCCATCTGCGTCAGCTTCTTCTCCCCCCACTTCATCTCCCACCTTGTCTGGAAAGGTGGGCAGGGCACCCAGTGGCTTTCGGGTCTATGAAGCCTTTGGTTGCTAACCAGAATGTTGGTGGAGTGGCTCCCCAGGAGCCCCAGTGGCTCCGCAGGAGAAAGGCCTGGCTGTCTCTTCCCACAAAGACTAATCTCGCAAACCCCAGGGGACAGTTTTGCTCAGTCACGTGGGCTGGCTAGGCATCCAAAATGGATCTACCTGCAGCCAACAACAGGGCACACTGCTTAGCCTGGTGTGAATGCTAGTGGCTGGTGGGGGCCTGCTCATTGCCTCCAGGCCCACCAGCCATGGAGAGGACCTCTTTTTGGGGAGTGGTCATCCTTGTGATTGCAACTGACCACACCCCTCCTGTTCAGGAGTTCCAGAAGGAGCTGAGTCAGTGGAGGAAAGACCCCAGCGGCAGCAAGAAGAAGCCCAAGTACTCCTACAAGACCGTGGAGGAGTTGAAGGCCAAGGGCAGGGTTAGCAAGAAGCTCACTGCCCCGCAGAAGGAGCTGTCTCAGGTCAAGGTATGGGCGCGCCTTGAGGGGGCGGATGGATAGGAAGACATGGAAGTAACCCTATGCTCCAGTTAGTCCCTGGACACGCCCGAAGGGCTCCTTGCTGCCGTTGTGTTCCCTTCGTGGCACTCAGTCACCCACACTGGGAGCCGCTCGGACTGCATCCCACACCCTGCAGGGCAGCCACGTGGGGAGCCCGGTCATGCAGGCTGCCTAGGCCTCGGCTATCCAAGTTGTGACCTACCCCCTACCTCGAGCTCACGCTTTGGGCTTCAGCGCCTGAAAGGGTTTGTGATTTGGGGTCCTTCCCACACTGCCCTCTGGGAAGCCTGACTGAGCTACCTACACACACACACACACACACACACACACACACACACGCCTGCCTGCCACACACAGGCCCGAGACTGATGCACATCTAACCATACGGTGCTAGCTGCTCTTTCTATCAGAGAGGTACGGTTCAGCCACTGGCCTGTGGCTAGAGGATTGAGCTCTCCATTGCGCTGCTCCGTGGCCAGAGAACAACGGGGACAGTGTTCCAGGCTCAGAAGCAGCATCTGTTGAAGCGCATCTCTTACTGCCTGTGGGTGGTTTTCTTGCACACAGCTTCTCTCAGGAATACACTTGGCTTAATTTGAGTCACCAGCTGTTCCTTGGGAGAAAGATGGGCTGTTCTACTCCTATAAATATAGTCGGAAACCCACAGAGGCAGCTCGTCCGTGTCCTGTAGGGTCGCTGTGAGCCAGGATCCACTGGATGGCAGTGAGTTTGGTTTTTTTGTCTCCTGAGGAGGGGTTCAAAAAAGGTCAGTCCAAACAGTGGCTTGCAAATGCATTCAAGACAGAGCAGCCAGTTCAGAAGGGAGTGGTGACCCCCAAAGGGGTCAACTTTTTTATTACTACTATTTTTGATGCATTTGTGTGTGTGTATGGGGTGTGTGTGTGTGTGATTGCATTTCAGACCTTCAACTTTGCATTCAACAGTTCAAACCCCACTCCTCCACCTCCCGCCCGATTTCTCTTCTCCCTCTTGTGGCCCTCCTGTTCACCCTTTCAGCCAGCAGTCAACATCTGTCAACCTTCTGGTCCAAAGGGCATCACTGGTAGATTTTCTCGAAGGACCCAGGACAGTCAGGGTAGAAAACCACATGGATGACCCAGAAGGCCAGGAAAGTTGGGCTGAGGACTCTTTTTGCCAGTCATAACAGTGCTCGTTGTTCCTCTTGAAAGTTGGCAAGGACTGCCTTAGGAGGACTTCATTGGACAACCTGACCCCACCCAAGCCCCAGCCCTGATCGCCCCTTTAGACATCTTTGGTGGCTAAAACCTAAAGGACATTGAAAAGGAACACAAGTGTGCGTCCCTGGAGGGTGACCAGACTGCCATTCTGGTGGGGGGTGGGGGTGGGGGGGTGTCCATCAAAAAACAGAGTTCTATAGGGAAGGGTTTAAAAACACCCAGACTCACTGCCATCGAGTCAATGCCAACTCAGCCACCCTATAGGACTCTTCATGAAAGTAGAAAGCCTCCTCTTTCTCCTGTGTAGCGGCTGGTAGACTTGAACTATTGACCTTGCGATGAGCAGCCCCCGCCTTCAGAAATGGACTGACCAGCGGGAGGGTCTGTGGAGACACAGCAGCTCCCTGTGTCTGTAGTGAAGATTCCCACGGTTTGACCGCACTCCTTGGGGGCTGGCCCCACAAGCAGACAATGTTTCCACAGAGGCCCAAGCCCCACTGGGAGACTCTGTGTAGGAACCGGGGCTACAATAAGCCAAGTGTTGGGCTGTTGAACCCACCAGCTGAGGCTGTCTGCTCCCATAAAGCCTCACAGGCAGGGGAGCCCCGGGGAGCTCTTAGAATTGGCCTCACCCGAAGGGCGTTTAATGAGAACTGAGGACTCTGCTGTTCCCTGATTATCCCTCCTGCCCTCTAATGCTGCTGCCTCGGGGGTTACACTTTTAAATCAGGGACGACAGTCCCATTTTAGATGTGTGATCTGCCTGCAGATACCCTTGAGTTTTCCTAAGGTGGGCTGGCCCTGTGGTGTGTGTCAGCTATGTCCCCCCACAGTGAGGGTGCTGCCCCACTATGTGTCCCCCACGTCCTCCACCTCCTGGGCAGTGAGTATGCTGCCCCACTATGTGTCCACCTCCTGGGCAGTGAGGGTGCTGCCCTACTATGTGTCCCCCATGTCCTCCGCCTCCTGGGCAGTGAGGGTGCTGCCCCACTATGTGTCCCCCACGTCCTCCGCCTCCTGGGCAGTGATGGTGCTGCCCCACTATGTGTCCCCCACCTCCTGGGCAGTGAGGGTGCTGCCCTACTATGTGTCCCCCACGTCCTCCATTTCCTGGGCAGTGAGGGTGCTGCTCTGCTCGGCTCTCAGCTGGAGTCCACGGGCATCCTCCCTTTCAAGGGTGCTGAGCAGGACCCCATGCCCCTCTCCCTGCCACTGCCCTCAGGTCATAGACATGACTGGCCGGGAGCAGAAGGTCTACTACAGCTACAGCCAGATCAGCCACAAGCACAGCATCCCTGACGATGGGCCACCACCGCCCAGCCAGCCGCCACCACCGCCTGGCAAGGAGGTCAAGGCCCCGGGCTTCACCCTGCCCGAGCTGGAGCACAACCTGCAGCTGCTCATTGAGCTGACGGAGCAGGAGATCATCCAGAGCGACCGGCAGCTGCAGTACGAGCGTGACCTGGTGGTCACCCTATCGCACGAGCTGGAGCAAACAGCTGCGGTGCTGCGGCGCGAAGAGCGGGTGCTGGCCAACCTGGGCCGAGTGCTGGAGCTGGTGGAGGAGTGTGAGCGGCGCCTGCAGCCCGGCTGCGCAGACCCGCTGACGCTGGCCGAGTGTGCCCGCGTCTTCGAGACCCTGCAGGACAAGTACTATGAGGAGTACCGCATGTCCGACCGCGTGGACCTGGCCGTGGCCATCGTCTACCCCCTCATGAGGGAGCACTTCAAGGACTGGGACCCCCTCAAGGACTGCACGTTTGGCACCGAGATCCTTGCACGCTGGAAACGCCTCCTGGAGAACGACCAGATCCTGTCCCACGGCGGCCAGGACCTCTCGGCGGATGCCTTCCACAGGTAACCTTACGGGCGGGCGGGACAGCCAGTGGCTGGGAAGCTGGAGGAGGTGGCTACAAGCTGCGCCCCCACCCAGAGCAGCTCTCGGGTGGGCACAAGTGAGCACTCAGCACCAAGCATGGCAGGAGCTGGGGCCAGGGTCCCACAGGGCGCCGGGGACAGCAGGCCTTGTGGTCTGGGGAGACCCTGTGAGGGCCACTGCAAGAGCCCGGGACCCTGGAGTTGGGGGTGGGGCCTGCGACCAGCGTGCTGCTCCAACTCCACGTAATGGGCTGCTCAGTTGAACAGAGGTGGTTGGGGGGCGGGGAGGGGTGTTCTCAGAAACCCCTCAGAGAAGGCCCCAATCCCCTTCTCCTCTCCCCACAGGCTTATCTGGGAAGTTTGGATGCCGTTGGTTCGGAACATCGTCGGCCAGTGGCAGCCAAGAGACTGCGAGCCGATGGTGGACTTCCTGGACAGCTGGGCGCACATCATCCCCGTGTGGGTCCTGGACAACATCCTGGACCAGCTCATCTTCCCCAGGCTGCAGAAGGAGGTGAAGCAGGGCGGGGCCCCTGCTGGGTTAGAGCAGCTGCTGGGGGATGGCGCCCACATGCATGCATGCGCGTGCTGGTGGCGGCAGGGCAAGGTCATAGAGAAAGGTGTGTAAAGCAGCCTTCTCCCCCCAGCCCCCTGGCAGCGTCCCCACCTGGATTAAACCTCTGGAGAACCCCCTCCGGGGCTATGAGTAGCCTGGCTGAGATGGCGAATGAAGGTGGAAATTGGAGCGTGGCATCACTTGCTCTCCCTTTTGCTCTCCTTAAATGTGTTCTAGTTAGTAGTGTCCTGCTGCCTTTTGGGTTGAGGTGCTTTATTGTGTAATTATCGTTGGGGGCAGGTGGGTATGAAATCCAGGCTAGGTAAATGGCGGGGGGAGGGTAGGGAGGGAGGCCAGTCCTAAGGAGCATGTGGGAGAAGAAGGGGTGTGACGCCTGCACAGTTCTGTAACAAATACGGCTAAGCCTTGGGGATGAGTGACCTTGAAGCCATGGGACCGTGGTCTTCTCGGGGCCCAGCAAGGCCATCTCCCGTGTGGCCCTCAGCCTAACCTCCCGGGCTGTGCTGCCCCTGCCCTGCCCCCAGGTAGAGAACTGGAACCCGCTGACGGACACAGTGCCTATCCACTCGTGGGTGCACCCCTGGCTCCCCCTCATGCAGGCGCGGCTGGAGCCGCTCTACTCGCCAATCCGCAGCAAGCTGGCCAGCGCCCTGCAGAAGTGGCACCCCAGCGATGGCTCAGCCAAGCTCATCCTGCAGCCCTGGAAGGAGGTCTTCACCCCTGGCTCCTGGGAGGCTTTCATGGTCAAGAACATCGTGCCCAAGCTGGGTAAGCGCAGCAGGCAGTCAGACCGCTGACCTCTGGGAACAAGCTGAGTGCCCCGGTGTCTGCCATTCGGAGGCTGAGCACGTGCCCCAGCTGACTCACAGCCTGCCTGTGAGGCTCCACCGTCGGCATCGGCCACGGCCACGGCCTGCTTTTGGTCTCAACGTTTGAGCCGGAAACACTGTGCGAGAATGACTGCCTCAGAGGGTCCCTGGAGCGCAGCTTGGAAGCCACCCCCTGGTGAAGGGGTGCTGGTCCCCTGGGTGTGTGAGGGTGGGTGGGGGGTGGTGCCCGGCACTGAGCCTAGGCTGCTTCTCTTGCAGGCATGTGTCTCGGGGAGCTGGTCATCAACCCGCACCAGCAGCACATGGATGCCTTTTACTGGGTGCTCGACTGGGAGGGCATGCTCTCCGTCTCCAGCCTAGTTGGCCTGCTCGAGAAGCACTTCTTCCCCAAGTGGCTGCAGGTGCATGGGGCTGGATCTACTCACATTTGGCCGCCCTGTGATGTGCTGTGGCACCCCTCATGCCACGGCTACAGCGTCCTCACTGGGACTGTTTGGGTGCAAAGTCACAGATTTACCAGACTGACCCCACGACCTACCCTTCAGGCCAGACTGTAAGCCCTGGGGTGCTGTGGATGTCCGTACAGACGGACAGCCTCAAACCGTAGGTAGCGGCTGGTTCTGCTCTGTCCCCACTGTGAGTTAGCGTCATCTCCGTGACATTGGGTGTGGGTGGCTGATAGGAGTCCTGGTGACACGGTGGTTAAAGCGCTCTGTCATTGACTAAAAGGTTGCGGGTTCAAGCCCAGCAGCCACGGCGCTGGAGAAAGGGCTTGTTCCTTGCAGACGGAGTCTGGAAAGTCCTGTCTGACAGTCAGTGAACTGGAATGGGCTCGATGGTAGTGGGTGTGGGAGCCCTTAGAAGCATGTCAGTGGTTTGCAGGACCAGAAACGTTCAGGTGGGGAATTGGCTGGCGCTTGCTACCCCATGGGTGCTAATGGCCGTGGTCTGTGTCTGGGGGTGGCAGGTCCTGTGCTCCTGGCTGAGCAACAGCCCGAATTACGAGGAGATCACCAAGTGGTACCTGGGCTGGAAGTCTATGTTCTCAGACCAAGTGCTGGCCCACCCGTCTGTCAAGGACAAGTTTAACGAAGCGCTGGACATCATGAACAGGGCCGTGTCCTCCAACGTCGGTGAGTGCCACATTCTGGCATGGGTCCGTGTTCAGCAGTACACCGGTGACACGGGATCAGGGTCCCTCTAAGCAGTTTGCCTCTTCATGGAGGCCTTTCTCCAGGGACCGGTCTCTCCGGACAACCCGTCCTAAGTGCCTGAGACAAAGTCTTACCCTCCTGGCTGCCATTGGCAGGGTTGCTTTCCCCCGAAGGTAGGGGCTGGGTGGCTTCCCAGTCTCCAGCCTGGCCCCCGAGCAGGAGGAAGTGGCTTGCTCGGGTGCAGGGCACTCGGGGCGGGAGTGTTTGTGAGACATCCTATGTGCTGGGGCTGGGGTCTTCAGCAGTTGTGACTGTGGGGGCTCTGTACCCAGAGCAGCTGTGTTCCAGTTGGACCCTTAGCCTGAGCAAAGCATGTTGGTGTCAGGTGCCTTTGAGTCAGCTCCAACTCAGTAACCCTGTGACATAGAGCAGAACACAGTCCAGGCCCGGGCCACACTTTGTCCTCGTTGTATTGTTGAAGCCACTGCACCAGTCCCTCTCCATAAGGGCCTTCCTCTCTGTCGCTGCCCCTCTACGTTAGAAGTGCCCTTCTCTGGGCGCTGGTCTCTCCTGACGACACGTCCAAAGCCCGAGAGTCAGTCACGATCTGCCTCTAAGGAGCACGCTGGCTGCACCTCTTCCAGGACAGATAGGCTGGTTCCGGCAGTATGATTTCTGTTGGGGAGCGCCACGCCGTCTCCTATGTGCTGATATCTGAGGCCAGCCTTGACCACTAGGTAATTCTCAGCATTTGTCACAGAAGCAGTGTCCAACTTGATTTCACAGATAAGCTCAGGATAAGCGGCCAAGTGCTCCTTCAAGGTCGCCCAGCTAGGGTGGCAGTTGGGGTCAGGGTCTATGTGTCCTGAACTTGCCTTTCTAGCACTTAGTAGCCCGTTAGAGGAAAACTGAAAGTTGCAGGTGATGTATTTCTAGTCAGTGACCAAGAGAAGGACCTCAGCCAGGCCGATTGGCACTCACTGTAGCAGTGGGCACTAGCAGAACGGTTGTGTGCAGCCTGCTTCACTGGGCAGTGCTGTGTTGGGCATGGAGCCACTGAGAGTCAGAAGTGACCCCACAGCTCTCACAACACGTTTCATGGGGTGGATATACAGGTATGCGCCTCTATTTTCCAAGTCCCACTTCTAATTCACATCCTCTAGAAACTTCCATAGCCAGCCCAGAACTGTGCCATCCTTGCCATAGACATCCCCTAGCATGTCCAGTCCCCCAAGTCCACTCTAAAGTCCCGTGGGACAGGGCCTGCCGAGTTAGATGGAACTCTGTGTTGGTTGGCCAAGTGCTTTGCACAGCGAGGTTAAGGACCGGTGGGCTGCCACAGGGCTTACGATTCCCCACAGGTCTGTGGTGGGGACCTTTCAACAACCCCCTGGTGACGGAGGGATAAGTACCTTCAGGCCTGGCTGTACTGGCATCAGCCACAGGTGCCCAGCCTCCCCTGAGGTGCCCTGCTGTGGTGGTTTGTCCCTCGGGTCCGAGGGAGAGTCTGGCTCAAGCCTGACATCTGTGTCCCTCCCAGGCGCCTACATGCAGCCCGGGGCCCGGGAGAACATTGCCTACCTCACCCACACCGAGCGGAGGAAGGACTTCCAGTACGAGGCCATGCAGGAGCGGCGTGAGGCTGAGAACATGGCCCAGCGCGGCATCGGCGTGGCTGCCAGCTCGGTGCCCATGAACTTCAAGGACCTCATCCAGACCAAGGCTGAGGAGCATAACATCGTCTTCATGCCGGTCATCGGCAAGCGGCATGAGGGGAAACAGCTATACACCTTCGGCCGCATCGTCATCTACATTGACCGCGGGGTGGTGTTCGTGCAGGGTGAGAAGACCTGGGTGCCCACCTCCCTGCAGAGCCTCATTGACATGGCCAAGTAGATTGTGAAGGCGGGGCTGCCAGGCACTCCCCACCCCTCCCCGCCCCCAGGAATAAATGTGAGCCGCCCCAGGGCTCAGGTTGGTCTGTTCAGGGCTCCCTGGTCAGGCCACCTAGAGTAAGCAAGCCCGATGGTGCCCCTTAATACCTGGACTTTGTATGCATGTTGGAGCCCTGGTGACATCATGAGTTACACACTGGATTGCTAGCCACAAAGTGGGCAGTTTGAGGGTTTCTCTTCCTGTAGAGACACACCCACGAGCAGCCCTACAGGGTCACTAGGAGTCGGCGGGGACAAGACAGCAGTGAGCAGGCCGGGTTAGGTTTTCGATTTGTATGCTTAACATCCTCCGTGCAGGACAGCTCATGCCAGTGCTGCCCTCTGTAGGGAGTTCACAACCTCCCTGTCCACCCCCAAGGGCTAGTCTTCTTGGTCACACCCGGCCACCAGAGGGGCCTTTGGCCTCTTCCCTGATGATTTCCAGGCCCTCACAGTCCTCATAGTCCGGCTCTTCCCGGAAGGCCCACGTGTCTGCAGAGAGCTGGCTGAGTCTGTGTGCTGGGAACCAGTGGATAGCGGTGTCGTTGAACACGTCCATGTACCGTGAAGTCTCAGGCAGTGCGAGCTCCTCCAGGCCACTGATGACCTGAGTGGGAACAAGTGTGGGGTAGGGGAGAGCCTGGAGCCCGCCACTTCCCTGCCCTCCTCCTGAGAAGACACAGCAGGGCCCACAACCGTGACACCACGGATGAAGGATGCACCATGGGGAGCAGGCTTAGTGTGGTGGGAGGGGGAGGACGGCGATGTCACCCTGTCTGGGTAGCCCTGGTTCCATCCCCCTAATTCTTCCCAGTTAGACTCAGCAGAACGTCACGTGTGCCGGTGAGCAGGGCGCAGGGCAGGGCAGGGCAGGGCAGGGCCCAGTTTGCCTCGGCGGCCCTCCACATTACCACCCACCTTGGTCCCACCCATCCAACTCCTCTGTCCAGACCATTACCTTTGCGACGTACGGATAATTCCGCTGCAGGATCCTGGTCAACAGCCTAGAAAGGAGAAAGAAGGGTCACCAGGCAGGAGACCTGACCAAGTCAGTCAGGAAACTTGGGGGGTGAGAGGGGAATGGTGACAAAGGGTGGAGTATGTTCAGTGGCCAATGGGAAAAAAGCGCCAATGCCCGTCTTCAGGGGGAATGGGGATGCGGTGAGTGTGTAGCTGTCCTGGAAGCCCCCAGGTGAGTCAATCACAAAAGGCCAAATATTGCCTAAATCCATTGTTTAAAAATTCAGATAAGTAAAGGGCTTATGCCAGGAAAGACAAACACCGGTGGTTTTGGGTGGGGGGTGGGGGGGTGCAGGAGAGTAAAGGGTAGATGGTCAACTTGGTGGGGAGGGAAAGCTCCAACAAGAGGAGGCGGCAATGCGGTGAGCCATTGGGAGTGTGATGGGTACTGGATGCAAACCTGATGGGTCTGATTTGTAAGCCCTCACCTGATTAACAATAAAGACTTTTATTAAAAAGCCCCTGGCTTCCTCTTGGAATCAGACACGGTCCCCAGAGTGCCTGCCCCGGCCCTCTGTCTTGGTAAGCGGGAGAAGCACCAAGGTTGCCCTCAGGGCCCCACCCTTACCTCTCCTGGAGTCCCCGGAAGCTGTTTCCGACGATGACCATCCTGGCCAGGGCGCCGACAGACCAGTTCCTCCACAGGAGGTTGTTATACAGAGCTGTCCCACAGTGGGGCATGTAGAAGACGGTGGGCTCGGTTCCCACAGCCCGCTTCCCTTCCTGCAGAGATGGGGCGACACACCAGCATTTGCACACGTCTCCCAGTGAGGGTGCAAGAGGCCAGGGCACAGGCCCACCATGCCCCGCTGTCTAACAGGAAAACCCACCACGAGGCAGAACACAGACCACGAGGTCCCAAGATGAACGGGGTTTGACTGGGCAGCTGGTGTGCTGCCCACACAGCACTCTGGACAGACGCTAGGACTGCTGAGGGTCCCAGGCAGCCCCACGATGACGCTCGGCAACCTCCAACTCCCATGTCCCTCCCCCATCAGAACCCAGTGCTGGGCTTGGCCACCCGGGTGACCCACATGCCACTCCTGCTCCACCCAGCCTGTGCTCCCCTGGCCCCCACCCACAGGCCTCCTAGCCACTTGTTCTGTGTCTCGACCCCCACAGCTGCTGGCGACTTGGTCCTGTTCATCTGGCAGGCCTGTCAGACCCAGCTCATGCCAGGATACCCTTCTCTGGCCCGAGCAGGGCAGATCTCTTACATACCCTCTCCCCAGCCCCTCCCAGGAGTCCTGGTGGCATTCCTGGTGGCATATGGGTTAGCACTGGGTAGGTAACCACAAGGTTGGCAACACACACACACCACCACCACCACCACCACCCCGCCTCTCAAGTAGCAGAGGAAAAAGATGAGGCTGCCTGCTCCCATAACGAGTTTCAGTCTTGGAAACCCATGGGGGCAGTTCTACCCTGTCCTACAGGGTCACTGGGAGTCAATCCATGTGACAGCAGTGAGTCTGGACTGTGTCCTCTCCTCACACATGGCTTTGTGAAGAGCTTCAGCCTTGATGTCCCACCCCTCTTCCACGGAACCACCAGCCTTGAGTGGGCCCGAGGACAAGGACCTGTCCCAGGTGCTGAGACGGAAAAAGAGTGCTGGAAGGAAATGCCCACCCAATGGAAACTGGTGTCACAAGTCAGTCTGGGGAGCCGGGCCAGGACCAGCCCGGCCCTGGGTCTCTCTTTGCTCTCTCACTGCCCTGAGTCGACGCTGACTCAGAATGAGCCACTAGCACCAGGTAGAAGTGCCCCTGTGTGTCCGAGACGGTCACTCCTTACAGGAGTAGAAAGGTGGCTTTCTCCTGAGCAGGTGGTTTCCCACTGTTGACCTTGTGGATGGGAACCCACTGTATAAGCACGACAACAGCAGGGCTCCAGAGAACACTTCACTGTGCCCATGTGCCAGCTGCACACAGACCGAGAGGGACTTGTTCACGTGGAACAAGGGAATCCGTGGTCTATGTGTGAGCGGGCTGGATCCTTTCTCCCTTTCTTTGAATCTGCACACTGAGGCGATAATCATGAACAGCTGGATCCTCCGAGGAACTCGGCATCGGGATCGGAGGAAGGCTTACTAACAACCTGTGATACGCAGCTGACCCAGCCTTGCTTCCTGAAGTTGAGGGCTTGAAGCAGCACTTGCTGATGAAGAGCAGGAAGTGCAGCCTGAAGATGTGGATTATAGCTCATCTAGAGAAAAAACACTCACAACTGGGCCACTAAGCATCATCCTAATTAATGCAGAGAAGACTGAAACAGTCAAGGACTTCCTTGTTGATTCACAATCAGCGAATCTTTACAGTGCTGAAGAGCGAGGAAGTCATTCTGAGGACTAAGGTGTGCCTGACCCAAGCCACGCATGTTCAACGGCCTCTTTTGCATGCGAGAGTCGGACACTGGATCAAGAAGATGGAAAAAGAACGGATGCGTCTGGGTCGCGGTGTTGGTGGAGAAGACGGCGAGCACCCTGGGCCGCCAAGAGAACCGATCTGTCTCGGAAGAAGTCCTGCCAGATGCTTCTCAGAAGCAAGAAGGCGAGACTTCCTCTCGGATCGTTTGCACATGTTGTCGGCAGAGACCGGTCCTTGACGACAGATAGCGCGAAGCGGTGGCAAGAGAGGAAGACCCTCGACGAGCTGCCACGATGGGCACCAACCAGGACAGCGACTGTGAGTGAGGGCGGCTCGGCGGGGCGCTCCAGCACACGGGCTGGACATGGCTCTGGACAGCATCTCCTGAGCAGCCCCCGCCCACTTGCCTCGTTCTCCTGCAGCACAGTCACACCCAGGGCATCCAGAACGGCAGTCTCAAGCTGGCTGAACAGAGGGTCGTACACGCAGCAGCACCTCCTGGGGATCTGCAGAAGGAAGGGCGGCAGGTGGATTCAATCCAAACGGGTGTGTCAGGCACCGCACAGAGACGGCATAGACGAAGCTAAGCGCTTACCTGGCACTCCTCCAGGAAAAGCAGCAAAAATGTTAGCTGGCTTCTGGCTATGACGCAGGTGGCAAAACTGCCAAGGCCGTAACACACACACTGCAAGGGGGGAGTTCTTCTGAGCTGGCTTTGCCCCAGGCTCCCGAGCTGGGCCACGTCTGCCTCGTCTGCTGAGGAGTGGAGATGCAGGTGGCCGAGGGCTTCCGAGAGAGTCCCCTCAGGGGCCTCCAGTTGTCGCTGAAGTTTTGTGAGACAGCTGTTGACGGTTTCTGAAAGTGCCAGGCCCCAAGTGTCATCGGAGGGCCTGCTCTGAGCAAAAGAGCCCAGGAAAACATGCCCAACGGCCCGGGGAGGAAGGGGGCTGGGCAGCTCAGTGAGGAGTGACCTGCTACCGTGGAGAGCAGGCCGGGCACACGCAGTCACATCCCCCAAACTGGGAGAGGCCAGTGGCTCCCCTGGACTCCCACGCCCTACAACCTAGCCCGAGAGGATTTGGTTGGCAAAAAGCGTGCTTAGTTCAGTCTCCATTTCCACTGAGAGGCAGGCTGTGTTCTGAGGGACCTTTTCCAAATTATTCGAAGAAAGGATGAGACCTAAGTCTGAAATCATACTATACCAAAGCAAAAACTCACTGCCACGGAGTGGACGCTGACTCATAGTGATCCTATAGGACAGGGGTGTCCTCAAACTACGGCCCGCCGAGGACATTTACCCGGCCCGGCGGGTGTTTCTGCCCCCACCCCTTTTTTTTTACTTCAAAATAAGATATGTGCAGTGTGCATAGGAATTTGTCCGTAGTTTTTTGTTGTTTTTTAAACTATAGTCCGGCCCTCCAACAGGTCTGAGGAACAGTGAACTGGGCCTGTTTAAAAAGTTTGAGGACCCCTGCTACAGGACAAGGCAGAACTCCCCCTGGGGGTTTTGAGACTGTCACGCTTTATAAGAGTAGAAAACCTCATCTGTCTCCTGAGGAGTGGCTGATGGCTTTGAACTGTTGACCTTGTGATTTGCAGCCCAAAACATAACCACTATGCCACCTGGGCACCTGAGATCATACTAGGAATGACTGGAACAGTGGTTTTCAACATGTGGGTCACAACCTCTTGGGGGGGGGGGAATCGAACGACCCTTTCACAGGGGTCGCCCGATTCATAACAGTACCAAAATGACAGCTATAAAGTAGCAATGAAAATCATTTTATGGTTGGGGGTCACCACAACATGAGGAACTGTATGAAAGGGTCGCGGCATGAGGAAGGTTGAGAACCACTGGGCTGGAAGGAGGAGGATTTGTTGTGCAATGAATGAGTCTGCCAAGACTAACAGGAGACACTGCTATTGAAATGTTCTCGTACACAGCAGAGTTCTCATTCTCCTTTTGTTCCAGTAGAACCAGAAGCCGTTGGACAAATCTATAAGCACCACTTCCCCATTCCCCCCCACCCGCCAAAAAACCAACCAAACCAGAAACCATTTTAACAGTGTCATCACTGGGGGTAGTACACCTGGTGCAAGGTTCTGAGTCGCTGTGACTAAGAAACAAACAAGGAAACACATAAAACACCCTGGATGAAAACGATCACTCTGGCCATGCTCATTCCAGCCACTGTGTGTGTCTGGCAGAGCGGGGGTGGGGGTGGGGTGGGGTGGGAATGGACACACACTAGGTGGAGGCCAAAGAGCCGAGTAATCCTAAGTGACAACAGCCATGACAGCTTACAGTCTTGGTCCCCTACCACCGATAAGACCAGTGCCAGGCACTGAACTGTCCCCGTTAATTCTCAAAACCAGACTAAGGGGATCTGCCTGCTATGATTCCCATTCCAGAGACACCGAGGGTCAGAGCTAAGTTAAATGCCAAGACAGAGCCATAAGAGGGCACCAACATGAGAAGCCAGAGTCCACACTGCTGTGTGCAGCCAGCTGTCCCCAAGCAAGGGCTGGTCTCCCTTCTTTTCCCACAGGCCGGCTCAAACGCCCATCCCCACACCCCTGCACCTGTTGGCACCCACCTCGTGCTGAACTCCAGAAATCAGAGAGAAGTAGGTCCTCCCTGTGGAGAAGAGGCAGTGTGAGCAATGCTTATCTTCTGCAGCTACCCTCCAAGAACTTGTCCCCACCTCGAGCAGGATGCATTGATGGGAGGAAGTGGAAACTTGGCTGAGACACTCAGGGCCACACAGATCCCCAGGGACGCCTCAAGACGGGGACCTCCATGGGCCTGGGACTGAGGCTACTCTGTTGGCTGCTATATCCTTGGTCCCCAACAGAGCTTGGCCCAGAGGCACAGTTCCAAAAACAGAGATTACATATGAAGATTTAGCCTTTCAGGAAGTTTTTCTTTCTGCCTTATCTAGAAAATAGGAATAAGAATTGGATTTACCATGGCAAGTGTGTGATCAAACAAACATGCAAAAAACCCCAAACTAGTTGCCTTTGAGTCAGTGCTGACTCATAGCAACCCTATAGGACAGTGTAGAACTGCCCCTGTGGGTTTCCAAGACTGTAACTATTATGGGAGTAGAAAGCTGTCTTTCTTCCTCTGAGCAGCAGGTGGTTTTGAACTGCTGACCTTGCCGTTAGCAGCACAACTCATAAGCATTACGCCCCAGAGCTCCTCACATTGCTCTAGAGCAGCAGTTCTCAACCTGTGGGTCAAACAACCCTGTCATAAGGGTCGCCTAAGACCATCGGAAAACACTTATTTCCGACGGTCTCAGGAACCAAGACACCGTTCCTCTATCTGTCTCCAGGCGGGTCCGCCCACATGCAGATACACCCACGCATGAGTACCTGGCATGAAGACCGTTACCCATGCTACACCATGCTTCAAGACAACATTTCACTTACTTGTAATTAGAAATAAATATTTCACAATAACAATTGGTATCGTTTTGTGATTAGTCCCTATGCTTTAAGTATGTTCAATTTGTAACAGTGAAAATACATCCTGCATATCAGATATTTACACCATGCTTCACAACAGTAGCAACATGATGAAGTAGCAACGAAAATAACGTTATGGTTGGGGGTCAGGTCACCACCACATGAGGAACTGTGTGAAAGGGTGGCGGCATGAGGAAGGTTGAGAACCACTGTCCTAAGCGTCACTAAAAGTCCGAATGCACTCAGCGGCAGTGAGTGAGCAGTGAGTGAGCGAAGACAGAGCGCTGAGAAGGGCATAGGGAGGATGGTTGCTGTTAGTTGCTGGCATAGATGGACGTGCGTGGGCAATACGTGTGCAGAGCAGCACCCTGGGGGCTTTCGAGAAGCAGAGGGCCAGGCCTGGCCTCCAAGGAGCCTCTGGGCAAGTTCAAATTGTCAACCTTTCCCCTCCACGGGGAGGGGAAGAAGGGTCCGGAGTAACAGAGAGCTTGAAGTTCAGCTTTGGAAGTCTCGAAGACCCTGGGTGGAAATCTGGTGCCACATCTTATTCCGGTCCCTTTGCCACTCGTGCTCTTTAGTTCCCAGTGTGGCTGCCATGTGCACAACGGGTAAGGTTTGTGACATGTTTGCCCCGGTGCCAAGCACATCGCAGCCACTCAATTGACGGATGTTTTATAATACAGATGACAATCACCTGGTGGTCTGCGTCTTTCGTGTAAACAATACCACTAACAACGCAAATGGGCATCATCATATGAAAAACATTCTAGGCGTGCTTAACACGTGCTAGGCTCTGTCCGAAGTGGCTTGCGTTGGCGAATGCATAGCCTTCTCAAAACATGCCTACAGCACACTGCTTTCTTCCCACCAATTTCCCAGGTGAGAAGGAAACGGGGACACGAAGAGATGGTGCGCTTGCTGCAATCGGAATGGAAAGAACACCATTTATCTAAACACGGGGTGCGCTCGTTACCGTCCGTTAAGTAACCCCCCAAGCTTCTCCCCACTCTACGGATGGGAAGGTGGACGGGTCGCACTCACCTGGCCTCTCGGAGGCGGCAAAGGACGGTCGCCAGGTCGGGCTCCCCCGTGGCCTCCGGGTCCCCGGCAGCCGCCTCTCGCCGGCCCCTCCGCCGCGCACCCGAGCGCCTTTTGCGCGGAAGAGCCGCCTGCCAGGCGTCGGGCGCCAAGGGCGCCGCGGCCATCGCCGCCGACGTCATCAGTGCGCGTCGCGCTCGGCCGCGCGTCATCGCTGCGCGCCACCGGGCCCGCCTCCGCCCTCGC